AAATAAAGACACCGAGTCCTTTTCCAGATATTCTCCTTGGAGCTCTTGGGACCATTTAAGACCTTTCAAGACCCTCTGCTTCTTATCGTTCCTCAATATCACTCCAACGATTCCAATACAAAGTCCGAGTCTAAGCGCAGAGAAAAAAAGCGAGAAAAACGCCCCCCCAACTGTGGGTATCACAGGAAACTGATTATTGCGAGACTCGGTATCACACCCGCAAACTATTTCCAGAAAATCCCCAAAAAGAAAAAAGGAGAAAAAGGAGAGAAAAGGGGACATTTACGGTGCCTGCAGTTGTCCGACTCGACCACGGTCAAAACCCTGTGAGACCTTTCCATCTCTGATCTGCGATTGTAACAGTAACCCCTAGACGGAGCATAAAAGGATCGACTCGGTCATACAATGATTTACCCGGGTGGATCGGAGAATAAGGGGATTTATCAATGTTTAAAAGGGTTCAAGGGTTTTAGGAGCATTTAAAGGGTTTAAGTGGGAGATCATCGAACTGCCGGGCGATGTTGTGGAGTCGAAATACTCAGATTGGCCAGATTCAGGGCGATTAATTCGCTAGGAGAGAAGGAAGAGGATATTTAAATTAAATATCCAAGACACAAAGTCTAAGGCGAAAGAACTCCGATTGACCTTATAATTGCCCAAAGGAGATGTAAAGGTCAAGGTGACCTCCCGATTGCAACCCTAAGACCACCAGCGACAATTGAATGAGGTTACTATCCTCCTATCCGACTATCCTACTATCTTAGATCCAATCTAGAATAAAATTAAATGCGTAAAATACGGAGTACATGTCCTCCCGTACTCGGAATGCGCATAGTCCACGCCGAGGTCGACTATTGGCAATGGCTGCGGGCACCGACGTCGATCCGTCAATCTTCCACCTTGCTTAGCCCTGATTGGTATACACTGCCACCCCTCTCCGAACGGAAAAATGGAAAAAACGAGGGAAAAGAAAAGGGAAAAGAACTATCCGTTGACTAGTGGCATTCAATCCCTTCCCTTTACCCGCTCGGGGAGGGGGGGGAGTGGCACTGACAGCGTTCTGTCAAATGCACGCCCTCAATGTCCTAGATAGGGGAGGGGGAGGGGGGAGGGGGGAGAGGAGGCAATCTATTCTTTATTCTCTTTTTTCAGTATCGAATGTATCTAATACCAGGCCTCCAAGGAAAGGAGTCTAAGGAGGGGCACCCGTTAAATCCATTATTCTCCAATGATCTACCATGACGAAGATCAAATCTATCAGCTACTAGCGCCTGCATGGACCACTACTCTTTCCTACACTGCTTATTGTGTGATAGTTCAGCGGTTCGTTTGGACTATCGAACGCCTTGGGAACATTCAAGTGGGGGTGTACTTTTTTATTCCCCTACTTTGGGCGACCTCGCACCACTTTCGGTCATATACTTCACCGTTTTCTCCCCTTTACACAAAAATACCCTCGAGGAACGTGGAACGTGTGATCAAGAGGTAAGGCGTGGGGTGGGGACTTTGACATTTTACTGCACCTTGATCCTAGCTCAATGATCGACCGCCATCCTGCAATAAGTCGCCCTAGGGAAGACATGCGTATGAGTAACCCTGTGCCCTGCTGTCATCTAGAAATCTCCCCATCGATGCAGTCTATTTTCTGACTCCTCCAATAGCGGATCGATCCACCTTGATTATAAGCTTGGGTCCTCGGACGGCATTGGAAGAACTTTGATGACCTCTGGCTCTTTTCTATTCTCCCTACACCGCGCTTTCTGTTTCGCTAGTTACTCCCAGATCTATTACTCAGACATGCTGTCTCAAAGAACCGCGCAATTCAGCGGTCTCTGCTTGTGAAATTGAACCAAGATATACTTCGGAATCCAGCAAGACCGAGAACGGAAAAAAGGAAAAACAAAAACAAAGCCGAAAGAAGCATTTGCCCCGTGGGCCCTTTCCCTTTCCTGCCTGACATCCGATGCACTCACTCGTGCTTCACCCCCCGAGCCTCACTATATCCCAATTCGGACAGCCCCGATTCAACCAGGGCCCAGAGCGGCTGCCGTTGAATCGATCTTGGACCCCCAATGCTCGAGGGTGCAGCCCCCGGGCTCCGATACCCCACCAATCTATGTCTGGATCTCCTCCAGCAAAACCCTCGGAGCTATCCGCAGAGATCCAGCCTCGGGGATATCCTCCCTCTCCCGGATTCACGGAGCGGTCTGCTGTGCCGGCATTGGAGCTATCGCAAATACCGGTTAATGAGCCACTGTCACGGGGATATAACGAACAGGGACCGGTTTATGCTGGATCTCCATTACTAGCAGGAGCACCAACATTGGACCCAACGCATCCCACAGGTCGATCACTGGCACAGAAATCAACCCGACGTACAAAGGCCCATGTGGCATCGGCTTGTGTCAATTGCAAGAAAAAGCACCTTGGATGTGACCCGGCTCGTCCATGCCGAAGATGTGTGCTTGCCGGAAAAGCTGTGAGTATTAATAAATTCCCGAGTGGAATTGTAACTAACGAGCAGGAAAAAGTCAACATGTGTGGACGTCACGCACAAAAAGCGAGGACGGCCCCCGTTAAAAGCAGAGGATTCATCTGTCAGGTCATACACCACGCACTTGGATAACCCGGCTATTCCAGCGGAGGCTCAGCCAACTATGCCCCCGCGGCGGACCGCTATGCATCGGGCCACTTCTTCACGGGAACTGCGTCCCATGACGGATCTACAGGGATTGGGGGATGTCGGCTCAGGCATACGGACACCACATCGGTGGTCCGCTTCGGTATTTCCTCTCACGCGGCCTATGGACCTCTCACCCACGGTCCCGGGTATGATTCGACGCCCGTTCTCTTCATCTGGACCGCCATCTTATTCGGTACCGACGCATTCACACGTACCTTCGCCGTATATGCCAATGGCAGGGTTTAATCCGGTCTTAAAAGTCAACACTATGTCTGGTGGCATGGATCGACGATTCCAAACATACGGTGTCCCAGCATTACCACCACCAACATCACCTCCTCAACATCAGCCACCACCAGTCGGTATGCCATTTCTACCGTATACTGAGACGCCTGGCAATCCTATCCGCCCAACGGCAAATGATTCACGAGTATCACTGTCACCTCGGGACCCATATACCGTTGAATCCCCAGTCCGGCTCCCCCCAATCCACCAGGCCACAGCTGGGCCACCCCCTCCCCACCATGTCCATCGCCTGAGCGACCCGTACCCAATGAATTGGACTCTCCCAGGCCGAGAAGAGCCCCTTTATGACCCCCGTGCTCTACCTCTCCACAGATCTGCAGGCCCGGTCTTCAACTACCCCCTCCCCCACCAACGCTCCTCCTCCATAACAAGCGCAACTATGGATCCCATACCCCGCCACCTTGGCCCAGTGGAACTGCCATCCCCGATCCAGATAGCATCTGGCCACTCGCCTTCTCTGACGAGGGCCGAACCACCCAGCACCGAAGCTGAAGGTCACGACAACAGACCGATCAAACGGCGCAAGATGGCTCTGGATGACATGGTCAACGGCTGATTATGGCACCACTGCTCCCATCCCATCTGAAACCTGATACTGATACCAATCGGAGGCTGGAGTTCCTCCTTGTACTGTATAATCATACTTTGAATCCCCTGTAGCAGGGTCTACAGGGACTAATCATTGCGCCATTTGGTCATTTCCGGTGCGAGCACCGAGAAAACAACCCTTGGACAAATCATTTCCTTGGTCTAATCTCATTTCCCACGTTTTTATTTTGTTTCCTAGATGCTGGACATGAAAAAGTACACGATCTCATTTCCCGGTGTTGTTTTCCTTTTTGTTTCCTTTGTTCCTATGTTTATGTGCCCGAATATCCCATCCGCATTGTTTTCTGATTTTGCTTCAACCGCATCTATCATATCCCATCTCATGACAGCTTTCTCGGATTAGCTTGTCTCTACTCTGCTGGACAAAATGGGAGCTGGGCTGGTTGAGGGTTTCTTTTGTCTGCGATATCATTTGTCTTTTTTTTTTATTGTCTCTTTTGTCATCTCTCGCATCTCATTTGTCTTATCTTCTCTGACTGATTCCCCTTCTCGCGAGTACCCCCTACAGTTGATGCGCGATTTTTTGTCTCCAATATATCATGGCACGGCGTTTCGCGGCGAACATGGGGGTGGTCTTGCATTGGTTTTTGTTCGATTTATTTTTTGCTTTATGGGTATATGGAATGTCATTGTCAACTTTATGTGCGCTGTACTTCATAGTCTGTATATATATACGTGTAACAACTAAAGATCACTTATCTGTTTAGTCTTGGACCTGGTGTAGATGATTGTTTTATGTGGTGGAGGTGGTTCATAGGGCTGATTACATGTTAACTCATTGTGCAGAATGTATAGTTATTCAGATCAGAAGATTAATCTACCACTAACTCTTCTCTCTTCATTGCACAGAGACAAAATAGAATTCTAATTGATATCAAGATGAAAATAAAAAAAATATCAAAAAATGCACTAAGAGGGAATCGAACCCCCGGCACAACATAACTTAGTAGTCGAATGATTACTTGGAAGTGTTATATGTTACCACTACACCATTAGTGCTGCTTATGATAACTGATCACTTTAAGAAAATATAGCGTAGTATTTCTAATTCCCATGTAGCAACTATACATGTGTTTAGTATGTGATGTGATACTTTTCGATAGTCTAAAATAACTTTCTACCGTGAATGACGTGCTGAATGACGGTTAAGAACTAATTAAAATAGAGTCCCTAAAGTTGTGGTTATTTGTGGTCGGAAATAATTATCTAGGAGTCATTCTTACTGTTGGTCAAGACAAATATATATTGAAGAACCAGGCGATACAAGAAAAGCCCCGACAAGAGATCAAAGCTTTCGGCATAAGCGACGCCTTCACCGCGGATCGGCGGTATATCCGACCGCAATACTAATGGCGTTTTCCTGTCTCTTATCCAACGATGATCAAACTTCCCAACTGTCGACCTACTGTACCAATGGTACCTTTGCCTGCTCGATCCCCTTGCAAATATCCACCTGCGAGTAAAGACCAAGTCCAACAAGCATCAGCAACAAGTTTGGAATCATCGGAAAGCGCAAATTATGCGTCCGATCCTGGATAATACCCATTTCCAGGGGATTGACCCACCCAGTCGCGAGATCCAAGGTGATCCCCAGACCGAAAAACTGCGCTTCCGAGTTCTCCGGAATCATGGAAGAGTAGATTGCACGGTTATACGCCCGAAGCGCACTACTGGTCGACATGAACAGGACCTGCTCAATCCAGAACTCGACCTGGTGCTTATAACCAATTGTAACATGGTTGCTGATTCCGATGCAGCCCCACAGCACACAAAGAATATTTACCACGAGGAAGGCATATGCGTATGATTTCACGGGGAGCCGAAGTCGCTCGTGGAGATACATGAGGCTCAAGCTGCCTGTGCAGGCAAAGATCACGCTGGTAAAGGACCAGACTGAGTAGACCCCGGAACTGCGGGAAAATCCAGTGACCTGGAGGAAGAGCGCGCCGATGAGCTGCAGGTGATTGAATAGCCGGTGCTCCATAGGACCCAGCCGATGCAGAACTTGAATGCTTCTGAGTAGTGCGTTACGATCCTCAGCAGTTTCAGCCAGTTTTTGAAGGCGATCAGCAATGGGAATTTGTTTTTCGTGCGGTCAAGCTCTTTGCCGGGCACTGATGGGAGAAGGCACTGGCCAAGGAAGGCAAACAGGACTGAGAAAGTCAGCTATCGAGGGTTCATAATCTAGAATCAAGTGCACCTTACTTGTGATGCAGCCTGCAATTGTAATGGCTAGAAGGTAGTTGAAGTACCCAACCTGCACATAAGATCCCCGCCCATACACAAGAATGACACCGATGATCAGGGCAGTCAAGCCACCGACATTGCCCGAAACCAAAGCTAGAACACTAATAGAGCCTCCTTTGTTCCACGTCGCTCTCTCCTCCTGGCCTCCCGCTACAAGGGAGTCACGGAACCAGCCCGTCGATCTCATAAAGATCGGGATGTATGACCACTCGATCACAGTATAAACGCCTCCGATCGTCGTTAAGAAGCAATATAGCACAGACAGGGCGGTCAGATGGCTATAAGTCTGACCGGCGAGTCCTGCAAAAGGCAAAGCCAATGCCCCAAACAGAAATATCGAGGCCATCATCATCGCCTTGCGGTAATCTGGAGGTATCTGGATCAGCGCTGAACATCTATGGTGTCAATTCGCTCTACGCACCGGCATAGTCTGCTAAGCCGGCCGTGAGAATCGATACTATGCCTTCCATGGAGCGACTGCTTGCTCGAAGGTACAATCTTTCTTCTCGTCAGCAAAAGTCACTCCGCAATCCAATGCCATGATACTCACGTATAGCTGTTATAGTCAATCTCCCCTCCACCGAATTTCACTAGACAACTGATGTTTGTTCCACGGCGTGAGCATGGCTTGTTAGATCCGGCCTGGTGGCCCAAGAGATTGGCTGCCGAGAGGATGGCCGCAGTCACATAATTCGAAACCATGGAAGATGTTGGGCCAGTCTAGAATTGGGCGAATGCATTATTGTCAGCATGTCGATCTCGCTCAAGCAGATGTCAATCCGAAGTAAGCATCCGTCCCCGCATACCGAGTAGCATAGCACCAAGAATCCCCACAGTGCTTTCTTCGAGTTAAAGGCAGCCTTGGAGTTGGCTTGCTCCAGATCGCGTTCTGTGGCCCGTAGCCCTTGCTTGTCCACGTCTTCCTCGTCTCTAGAGACGTGTTCTTCGACAGAATCCCGCACTTCGGTCATAGTGTAATTGGGAATCACACCGCTGGCGCACAAAAAATCCAAAAAATCCGACGGGAAAGACGCATTCAAGAAGAAAGGTAGCAGAGATGGAAAGGCGACGAAGAAAATAGGAAAACAAGAGAGACAGCATTTTTAAATCCCGTGTAGCTTCAATATGGAGTGGATAAGAGCGTAATTGTGCAATATAATAAACGCTTTTGATTCCATTTGGAGTGAGCTAGTTTGAGCACTTTTCCTATATTGAAGTCAATTTGGGGGTCATCCTTGGCATTTATCAGTCTCAAGTGGTTACTGCTTGTCTCCTCTCTCGGCCAATCAGATTTGCCATATTCAGTGTGTTCGAGTATCTTGATCTTGAAACGGCCATGCCCGGCACCATGCTTCTCTCTCCGCTGGATTATGGGCCATATGATCCAAGAACTGTTCCTTCACCATCTCCAATTTGACCTTCGCCTGCGCATACTCCTCATGGCTTACCCAGCCTTGCCAACCATTCTCTGCACCGCCTAGGGCCTCTAGAACATCTTCCATGAGCTGCACACCTTCTTCCCACTTCTGTTGATCTACCTTTTGTTGCACGATATCATCATCAGTAAAGGTGATCGGGCACGGTGTTCCATCTGCGCCAACTGTTGTGCTCCACTGTTCAACAAGTTGAATCAATTGGCCCTTGATAATTGTTTCACCGTCGTTCAAAACCTGGGATATGAGTGAAATAATCTGGGATCCAAGTACGTTGGAATACTGAAGCGCTCTGAAAACATCCTTATTCTGTCGTCCAGATTGAATTTCATAAAGTTTGTATAATAATTGTTGAGTTCGTAAGCCTTTGGCTTTGGCTTTCTCTTCAGCGCTCAATGTCTGGAAATTGTCTGGAAGAGAAGGAAGACAAAGACCTTCATCTGGCTTTGGCCCATTGAAATCCAGGAATGCGGGTGTAATCACTTGTTGGCACAATGGAGCGACATGTACGCTTTGCCAGTCAATGACAGCAAGAATCTTGGAAGGATTATTTGGATCCACAAAGATATTATCCGCATGGAGGTCGGTATGCCAGAGAACAGGCTTTGTCACGGTCGCGTCCTTCGGAACTATAAAGGATGCAATTTTGCGGAAATCAGAGATAACATCGAGTTTTGCTTGAGCCGTAGGCTGATATGACCCGGGCGCGCCAAAAATCCCCTCTGGTCTGGGGAATCGGCTAAGGTGTTTGATACACTCTTCTTCGCGACTCGCCATCAAATGGACATAGTCAATCATTGTATTCCCTAGAAGAACCCACGTCAGACAAAGGCATTGGTGTTCAAGAGGTAGAAAAACGCACATGGTCCTTTGTAAGACTCGATCGCACTTCGTCCATCTTCCAGGAACCTGCGATCCGTTGTCGGCCCGATCGCAAACCTAGGGAATGCAGTTGACAAACATCCATCTTTGGAGTCTGCTAGATCATTTTCATAGTAAATGCTACCAATCCGGTCAAAACTATGAGCAATAAGGGAGCGTTCAAAGTCAATGATACTTTGGATCAACTCCCGCTTCTGGTCGGTGCTCATTGTTGCCCACTGTGTGCTTAATAAGACACCATTTGCCTTCTCCATGATGATATACTCAGCACCGACAGCATTATCCTCTGCGCTATTATTCCAGGCATGAACCTTGGGCACTGGGATCCCTGCGATGGTACTTGCCTGCCCAGACTTATTATGAAGGACCATAACAATGGGGTCATTGAACTTACAAATTCCATGGTGGCGACTTCACTCGCAGTTGTGTAAAAGCGGGGGCCAGCATTCGGATTTGTAACCTTGGCGACGAGTTGATGTCCGCTCTCCGTGGTGAGAAGGAATGCTTTGCTGTAGTTTCCCTCGGGGAGCTTTTCCACTTTCGTGCAGACATGGGGGCCGGAATCCAGGCTCTGCATGGCAACTTTCACGAGTTCATCAAAATTGAAGTTCACGCGCCTTTCAGCTAGCTGTTGAGTCTCGTTGAACAGCCAGCGACCCGCGGTATAAACGTGGAACTCCGGCTTGTCCCAACTCTGGCCTAAATACATAATCTCATTCAGCATAAGCCAAGCTTACCAGACTGAAAACCCGTGGAGACCATGTCTGACCTTGAATTGAGGTGGTAAAAGAAACCCGTGGATTTGAGGACCAAGATCGGTGCATTCTGGGGGAATTTAAAATCCGGGCGCGCAAAATGAATCGGGTAAAGCCTGAAATTGCGGAAGAAAACACTCCTCGCTTAGTTGCAGTTGACATGGCTCAAGGCTTGGAGGTTGCAACTCGAAGTTGGTGCTGTGTTGATTCGGAACCCCGTGATCGGCACGGAATTTCTAGGTCCCGAGATACCTAACCAGGCACGTATCGGATGGAATATTGACGAGACGGCAAGACCACATAGACACAGATGAGACACGCAGTACAGAAGTACAGGGTATTGTTTGTACAAAGAGAGGAAATGTGTGGAGTGGCAAGCAACAAGGCAACAAAGACCCACACTCTATCCATGGATAACAGGAAAGCTTAAAAAAGCCAATTTTGGCAAAGTGAGGGAGGTTAGTATTTGTAAATAAGAAAATTAGATCAATAGGAATCAGAAAGAACATTTTTTTTTTGGAAAAACAACGATTCGGTCTTATTGGAAAGCACCGTGATGAAGGTGATATGTTGAAAAAATACCATCAACTTGGATAAAATACTGAAAATAATACTGAAAATACTTGAAAATACTGGCAGGCACACATTTCCTTAAAGAAACAAATCGGACGGGTTTTCCCAACAAGTTCCGACAGTATGGCCGAGTGGTTAAGGCGCTAGACTTGAATCCTAATTTGAGAAATCTAGTTCTTTCGAGATCCAGGGTTCAAATCCCTGTGCTGTCGAATATCTTTTTTTACGTTTTATTTTTTTCTCTCTCATTGAGTCTAAAATAAATATTGCCTGTTTCCAAAATTTTGGTTGCATTTATCAATTGGTGGTTTATTTCCGTAATATTTCTTGGCTATCTGATCGAGACATGGAATACGATCGTTCCACTATTGATAGTTCTATCTCGGGATTTTGATTCGATCGTGTCTCAATCAATGTTGTCGAATCATTCCCATTCCGTGAGAGCATCCTCCCTTCACTGTGCATACTCAGTGTTTTTGTATGCCTCCGTGAGCTATTTTGCCTAGCTCTATATCCTGCTCCGGAGTCTGACTCTCCGATACGTGAGTGGTAAGAGGCAGACTTTTTGAAGGGCCCGATTGCTAGTTTGTATAAAAAGGGGAGATTCGCGCAAGCAATCCCACAAAGTACTTCGTATATAGACAGAATTCCGAGCGGAACACCAGCCCCTAATTCTGTTATCAGCTCTGTGGATACTGAATCAGGACATTTTATTCGACGTACAAGTGAAGTCTGACGACCCTTGTGAGACCACAACTGTTAAGCGAGCAAGAGTAACGCCGCAGGTGCTAAACAGGTCAGAAGAATCCCAGTCGGCGGAGATCATAACTTACAATAGACCAATGGCAAAAACACCTGCGATCTCCAATTTTCGCTTTCGATTGACGTGCAGTCCGAAGATAATCGGTAGGGGAAGAAGAAATACCCATATGTCGCTGACCAGGTTCGTGATGTTGGTGAAGTAGGAGAATGCCACCAGATTTATACAGGTCCCCTTAACATCCGAATCCCAGCTTCTCTCAATGGGGATACACTGTAGCCCTAGGCCGATCTCCATGGCTGCGAGCCAGCAAAAAATAAAGACTGCGGTGCCAATGATCACTCGGCGAAAAACAACCGTGCTAAAAATGCGATAGTAAAGCCCAAGAATCGAAAGCTTAATGCTTGCAATAGCCCAGTCGTAGAAATGGCTGAAGATATAGTCGCCCTATTCAGAATGTTCAGTATGTGAATTAACATGGTGAATTTGTTGAAATCACCCGTAAGAAACCTTGGACTTCATGGGTACTGAGAGTAGCTTGATGTCTCCCAAAGCCGTATGGTGGACCTATACGTAGTAAAGTTCAATCTGGGTCAGCCTTACCCTTGCAAGAATTCAATATATATCTTGGCATAAGAACCTACCATACACCAAGCCACTTATACACAGTCCAACTGATATTGCCTACAGCAGTATTAGAAAATTGAATATCTCAACAACAACATGATCCGGAAAGAAAAGTTGGTTCAGACCGTGGACAAAGTAATCATATAATCATCAAAGCTCAAAGGATCTTTGGATGAAGGTCGTAGTACCACGAAAAGCCGGAGCCCAGTAAACAAAATCATGAATGGAATGGGAACTGAATAGCATATAGTCACGGTGGTGACCCGCGACGCGCTCAAATCGACTTCCTCCGCCATTACGGGGAGAGTGAAGGATTCTAAAAAATCCCCGACCGTTGAGCGATATATTAGTTGCTCCATTGCTTAGAGGCCGACTCCTTATTTTGGCCCCCATTGCCCCATTGCTGCTCCCGTGTTCTGCACATTTGAACATCGTATATTGCTTGTGGATACGGATGGATCAATCAGAACGGTTTGCAATCGCTTAGTAGCGGCCTGGATGATATGCTAAGCTCGACACTAACAACACAACCATTCAGGATACGCATAGTATATTATATACCCCTTTAAATAGTGGAGTCAATAAACAACGGGACATTCGGGCTGATCCGCTCGCTTCCAGGAATGTTACATGGCCCGTGGATTCCCGAGGTCGCTTAGGGCTGTCAGTCCTGCAGGAGGTGTACATAAGGAGCTCGTATTCACCAATCACTATCGTCTCATAAAAATACCACCCGTCCCGTCTCTTTTCCTCTCCAATCATCCGATTCCAACGGTGGAGATTCAGTTATGGGTTTCGCTGTCGGAATAAGCAGCCTTGTTTTTCTGGCTCTCACCACTGCCCCGGCTGGTTTGGGTACTCCGGTCCAAACTTCGAGCCCGGTGGTTGATTTAGACTACGCCACCTACCAGGGGTACTATGACAACACCTATGACCTCAATGTCTTCAAAGGGTAAGAACATACCGAATCAGGCTTGACGAGCGTGTTTTTTTATTTACTTATTATCTAAAGAATTCGATATGCGGCCCCTCCTGTTGGAAAGCTGCGATGGCAACCGCCACAGGCCCCTGCAGTGAACAAGACTTCTATTCAGTCTGCCACCGAACAGCCTCCACTCTGCCCACAGTCCGGTGCTGCACAGCTTCCAGAATTATATGGCTTCGGCTCAGCCCTGGGCAATGAGGACTGCTTGTTCTTGAATTTGTATGCTCCGCCCGGGGCCAAAGATCTCCCTGTTCTCCTTTGGATTCGTAAGTCTACGCACAAGTCAAAAATAAAAAGATTTGACCGAAAGAACATGTTCTAAGCACCAATAGATGGTGGTGGATATGGGCTTTTCGGGGCCGAATACGACCCCAGTGAATGGATCGCCACAAACGAAAACGGGTTTATTGCAGTTATGATTCAGTATAGACTGGGTGCCTTTGGCTTTTTGTCCTCGGAAGGCGTGCACAAGTATGGCAAGGCCAATGCAGGTCTGCTTGATATGCGTTTCGCACTCGAATGGGTCCAGGAGAATATCGAAAAGTTCGGCGGTAATGCATCCCGCGTCACAATTGCCGGCGAGTCTTCTGGAGCAGGCTCGGTGCTGCTGCAATCAATCGCTTATGGTGGTCGCGAGGACCACTTGTTCAATAATGTAAAGTTACAGCGCCATGAAATCCGAGACAGTCTGGCTAACTTGCATAGGTTATTGCCGCCAGCCCTTATACCACTGACTTGCACCAGTACGATGGTAAAGTGCCGACAGGTCACTATCAGGATTTTGCCGCACGAGCAGGGTGTTACAATGGGGCCAATGTATCCGAGGCAGCCGTATTTGACTGCCTTGTCAATGCCGACACCGATACTTTGCAATACGCTAGTGCAAATGTCTCCATTTCAGGAGCATGGGGTACCTGGGCCTTCCTGCCTGTGGTTGATGGCGATTTCATTCAGGAACTTCCATCCAAGCAATTATACACGAAGAAAGTGAGCGGCAAGCGCGTTTTATCTGGAGTAAGTCCATTGATCATACCAACACATAAGTCCGTTTAAGCTAACTCCTCCAGAACAATGCCAATGAAGGCGTTCCGCTTAGCCCACCATTTGTGAACACCACTGCCAGCTTCCTGAGTTACGTCAAGTCTACTTTCCCATTGTTCTCCCGCAGTGACTATTCCCGCCTGTTGGATATCTACGGGTTCCGAATCAGCTCTCCCCAAGACACTGCCCCCCGATACGATACACTAGGCGACCATGGCCAGAACGCTCTGAACCAATCAGAAATGGCAACCGGTCTTCAGCAAACAGTCTTCGACATCTATGCCGAATCAGCCTTCGACTGCCCCTCTTACTGGCTTGCGGATGCTTTCGCTGGAAACAATACCAAGGAGAGTTGGAAATATCAATACTCCGTGACCCCCGGGTACCACGGGGCAGATCTGTCCGCATACTTCTCCGTTGGAGCGACTACGCCTACTCCTGGTATGATCCATGCATTCCAGAAGATTTGGGGCAATTTCATCATCAATGACACCCCAGTCATCTCCATTGTCGATGCAAAGGGTGGTGCAGACAATTCTACCGTGCCTGAGGGTGCGAACGGAGATATCTCCTGGCCAAGGTGGAATAGCAACTCTCCTGTGTTGATGAACCTGAACACCACGGGTGGAACAACGGTCTATGAGAAAGTTACTGATAATCTCTCTTACTGGATTCGGCAAGGACCTGGAGTCACGAATGAGTTCAGCTTGGCAGATGCGTCGAAGTGGGAAGGCGGCCGTGGTAAGCGCTGTGAGTTCTGGAGAAGTGTTGGCCCACGCGTGCCAGCATAAGCCATTTGGTCCTTCTTTTGATTGAAATTAGGCTGTAAATATTCATTTGAATATCCCAGGCTTGAAGTACAAGCATTTTGTATATTAATATTGCACATATGACTTTTCGTATAGATTTTCTAGAAGGGAAATATATGAACGACGTCATAGTTCGCGGCTGGTCATTCTAAATAGATATTTACAGGGATGTAAAAAGACGCACGAGAAAGCATGAATTCATTCTGTTCAATATCCATCAACCAAGCTGGGAAATCGGAACCTTCGACCACCAAAATTCCGTCTGTTCTTTTGCCCAATCATCCGCGACACATTTCGCAGGAGGAGCAACATTACCTCCGATCAACTCCTCATTCCCCTCTCCAAAGATCAAAACTTGTGTATCCGCCGGCTGGAAGGGCTTCCACTCCGGTCTTTGTCCATATCGACCAGACACGGCATTAGGATCACCGGTTGTAATGAAACTAGTCAAGTAGGCATGAAGTGTGCCAGAAAGCTCTTTCTGGGATTCTGAAATTCCCGTGATAGCACTGTTAAAGGTCTCATAGTACATATTATCGGCATGATTTGCTCGACCGACGACCGTCCTAGGTAGCGCCCAGTGATAAAGGTAAACGGGAACACCTTCCGATGACGCAAATTGTGCTGTCTGGCGGACCGGTGCCACATAAGCATAGTGTCCGTAGGCAGCTTCAATCCGTTTATATTGAGGTCCGAGGCCCTCGCCCCGTCTGTCTTCAATATAGGGTGATGTGGGATCAACGGCGGGGTCAGGATAGAGCTTCTCGATTGTGTCGAGATCAGACGACGAGAGCTCCGGCAGAAGACTGTGCCAGAACTCGCGGAACTGGGAGGCGTCTGACATTTTCTTGTCGACGTACATTGTTCCCTCGTTGCTGTTGAACCCGGTCATGATGGGTACTTTATTCCAGACTTTTGACTCCCATGCCTCGAGGGGCTTGCGAGGGATAATGTCCCCATCAATCACGGGCTGGAACGCCCACCGCAGGGAAGGGTTGTACTTGTCGAAAACAGCCGTTTGGGCATTTGTAACAGTCAGGCTGGGGAGTGAACGTAGGAATGGAAAGATTTCAGCATCGGCTAGACCGGGTGGGCAACCGACTTCTTGGAGGAAGTCTGTAAACTGGTCCTCGTGGACCTTGGCGTTATATGGGCGAACAGCACGGGAAGTTGGTGCTCCAGACTCGATAATAACACGATGGAACAATGGTGATTTGTGCTCGTCGTAATTAAGGAGGTGGTGGCCAATCTAGATTTTGGTTAGAATAAATATTTCAGAAATCAGCAATTGGGAGATTCACTGAATGCGCGCCCGCAGAAAGACCACACAAAGTGACGTTGGCAGGATCACCGCCAAAACTGGCGATGTTCTCTTGGACCCATTGCAATAAAAGCACCTGATCACGCAATCCGAGATTCAGCAACCCCTCCTTCTGCGACAAACTTGAAGGCAGGAATCCAAGAGCTCCAATGCGATAACCAAAGCTCACGGCAACGAAGGGGTGTTCCGACCACGCCACCATGGACGCAGTATTGTGCATAGTTGCCGCTCCTCGATTGAAAGCACCGCCGTGGATATAGACCGCGACAGGGAGCTTGCGCCCATCATTGTTGCCGGCCGGTCGAAATATGTTCGCCGTCAAGCAGTCTTCACTCTGTACGAGCTTCGGTCCTCCAGAGAGAAGTGCCTTTCCAGGAGCCGCGGGGCCATATTTGGACGCATCAATGGTATCTGATGAGCTCGGAACTTTGATTGCTGGTCTGAAGCGTCGATCGCCTACAGGAGGGAGGGCATACGGGACTCCCAAGAAGGCGTCGACGGGTTGGGGGAAGGTGTCTTTGAGTTGGGTCCCTATTACGTGGCCTTGCGCCAAGGTGACAGAGGGGGACTTGGCATCAGCAGTCATGATGTATCACGGTTCAATGGTAAATCAACGAAGAGAAATCCCGAGAGATAAGAGCTGGGGTCGGCAGCAAGATATAGCACCGCGGGCGTGGTCGCTATCTCTCCGGGATTCAAAAGTAGCGCCGAAGTCATACCGTGTGGGGGCTATCTTGGTGGAGCCGAAGGTAAATACGTATAGCATCGTGGGGATCGCCGGTCGAAAGTAGCTAAGTTATACCGTGCGGGGGAAAACCCCAAAGATAACGGAAAATTATGACCGAAGGATTCGAGGGATATATATGGCTCCCTGATATCTTTTTGTTTACCATTACTCATTACTCATTGAATTGCGAGCATGGAGATCGACAAGAAATCACCCGCGGACACGATTGACGAGAAAGATGTGCAAATTGGCACTATAACGGATCTCGATGAAGGAGAGGTCTTCCTCCGCCAACATGGATTCAACCAAGAGGCCATCCAGGCACTCCTGGATGACGAGCCACGCAACAAGGCATTGGTCCGCAAAGTAGATCTTGTTTTGTTACCTTTACTTTCTGGAACGTATATGCTTCAGTATATCGACAAATCAGCACTCGCCTACTCTGCCGTATTCGACCTTCTCTCTTCGACACATATGTCAAGCAACCAATACAGCTGGCTCGCCAGTATCTTTTATTTTGCATATCTCGTCGCCGAATACCCATGGAATATCCTGGCACAGAAAACAAAGCTTGCCAAAGTCGTCTCTGGGAACATTATTGCCTGGGGAGCCATGCTCATGATTACTGCCGCCTGCTCCTCCTTCACTGGAATGGCTATCTGCCGCTTTCTTCTGGGAGTCTTCGAAGCCCCCATCACCCCATGCTTTATGATGATGATCGGAATGTGGTACACACGTGCTCAGCAACCGTTCCGTGCCGGTGTCTTCTACAGCTGCAACGGACTGGGAGCTATGGTAGGTGGCATTCTCACATATGGAATTGGACAAATCGACACCATTGCTGTATGGAGAGCGATTTACCTCATTCTGGGCGGCATTACCCTCGTCTGGGGAGTCGTGATGCTCCTCTTCCTCCCGGATGACGTTATCTCATCGAAGCGTTTCACCCTGGACGAAAAGGCCCTCCTCATTGGCCGCGGTCGACTCGGCCAGACCGGTATCATCAATCACCAGATCAAATGGCATCAAATCCGTGAAGCTTTCATTGATCCACAAGTTTGGATCTTGTTCTTCTTCACTCTTCTGAACGAGGTCGTAAATGGTGGGATCGCGAGCTTCGGAAAACTAATTATCAGGGGGTTGACCAATGACTCGGCCACTGCTATCGCTTTGGGTATTCCCTTTGGAGGATTCCAGATCTTCTACGTCCTAGGAGGAACATATCTTGCATCTCGAATCAAAAACTTCCGAACTGTCATCATGTTCATTTACTTGATGCCGACTGTCATCGGCGCCAGTCTCCTATGGAAGCTGGACCATCAGACATACAAGGTCGGCGTGTTGTGTGGTTATTATATCATTGGTGCTTACGTCTGCTCTTTGGTACTGGCTTTGCAGATGCCGGCGACAAACCTGGGTGGTTATACAAAACGTACAACCAGTATTGCCTTCGTTTTCTTTGCGTACTGCGCTGGCAATATCATTGGACCCCACGCGTTTCTCGCAAAGGAAGCGCCCGTATACCAGACCGGAGTCAAGCTCATCCTGGCATGCTCGTCTGCGCAAGCTGCTTTGGCTGTTTTGCTGCGGTTTGTGCTGGCTCGCAGAAACAAGCTGCGAGATGCTGCTGCTTCTGCTGTGGGCCATATCGAGTCATCTGTCGACCAGAGTGCTGGGGCAGATCTAACTGATTTCGAGGTTAGTGACTGCATATCATTGTTCCTTTCTGCGATCTTTTCACTAACCAGTTAACAGAACCCAAACTTCCGATACGTTCTTTGAAATATAGCTTTCAGATCATTGCTTCTAATTATACGCTGTCGTGTTATAAATATTCCCGCTTTAGTTATCCCTAGGCTGTTACGTAGGGATCGTAGGACGGTGCTGAACGACTGTTGCCGAGTAGGCGAATTGAGACCCAATGCCACAGCACTCACCAAATGTAATTTTGCCATCGTTTAATACATCGGGTCTGCCTAGGTCTATACAACCAAATCCGATATGGCGTTGAACAGATTTCTTCAAGACGTTTTCTTCGCATCCCCATTTATCCCGACCGTGCTCACCCTCTTGGCCTCCGCGAAAACCCTCCCACAAGCTCTCACACTATGGGCAATGAGCACTAAAACCATTAGCACAGTTCACTGACCAACTCTGAAGAAACGACAAAATGAAAAGACCACTTACAAATCGGAATAACAATCCAAAACCCATTCAATAGCACAAAATACCCATAAAAGTAATATCCCTCGGGCCTGGAGTACTCAACCCCATACACCAGAAAGTCAAACGCACAGGTCCCGTAGTACAGTACATCCCCGTACAGCTGTCCAGTGGAGATGATAATCTGCAGCGGGTGTCGGAAGGGATTCTCCGTGACGATGAAAGACGCAAGGACGAATGATAACGGGCCCCAGAACCAGGCGGTAACGGACTCCATGGACATGACGAAGGCGTGCGAAGTGAGATACCGCGAATCAGACATGGAGTATTCTTTCCATAGTTGCGCGAGGAGTTGCTGGGAGCCCGGAAGGGTGGCGAAGTTTAGGGCATAGTAGCCTTCGAGGATGAGGTGGATAGAGCCGCCTGGTTGTTTGTTAGTACTGGGTGTGCATAGACGGGGAAGGGAAGACATACATAGGGTAAACCAAAGAACAATAGAGAGTTCAGCGATCGTAATGTGAGGGTTTTTATTTGTCGCGATAGTTTTGGCGGCTGTTAAGATGATTATGCAGGTGACAGCGAACCAGCGTTAGGGTGCTCCATTCGTTATGGACGTAGCTGGGGATTTCTACGCCAACAGGGTAGTAAGAGTGGAGAGGGGTCATGATGGGCTTTCACGAATGAGATGAAAGATGAAGTGTATTTGCAAGGACTTCTGATTTGGATAGATATACAATATAGGGGGGATATGGCTCATAAGCGATGGTGATACGATCCGGAACAAGACATCGTCGGGTTCCGTGTACGGCGGCCGAAATGGGCCAACTACTCGGCTTTGATTGTATGGGGAGTTTGAAAAGGTCAAGCTCATAATGAGACACAGCTGGAATTGGAAAAGACACTGTGGAAAATCATCATATCGTACGGAGTACGGATACTCTGCGGTGACGGCGAATTACCAATTTTGGTTTAGCGTGCCTCTTTGGGTCTAGCTCCCTCCACGTGACTGACATCGCTGTGCGTGTCTCTATAAAGTCGCCTTCATCGCCCCGACTGTTGTTCGCCGAATGTTTCGCCTGTTACGGCCCCTTTCTTGCCATCTGCGTCCTGTGTGCATCCTGCCAGTGAGGTATTTTTGCCATTAATCTAGCTCGCCGAGCCCTACTGCCCCCTCGGTTACTAGCGCGAACTGACCAGTCCTTTGCCCTCGTTCAACCTCTTAAGCGCTCTGTATGTAGCTTTGCCTTACCTATCCCCTTTTCTACGCGTAGAATCGCCGAATATACTCGATATAAGGTATTTTTGCCTTTAGTCTGCCACGCTGAACCACGCCTCTGCCTCATGGATATATCAGCTGGCCGGTGTGAGACCCCTAGGTATGGAATGCCTAAGGGAATGCTGTATATAATGGAGGATCGGGAAATAGAGATAGTGATATACATAGGGTATATTGGAACTAATAGCTGCTTCTCCAAAGAAGCAGTATACGAGGATAATATATAGGTTTATAGGTCATATGACCTAAGGAGTAGACTTCTCCAAAGCCCGACCCGAGCCCGAAATTTGGGCCCGTGGCCCGACCCGCACGGGCTTCGGGCCCAACCTCCCTAGGCCCGGCCCGGCCCGAAGCCCGCGCGGGTCGGGCCTAAAAGCCCGTGAATAGCCCGTTTAGCCCGAATTTATATAATATAGAGGTCTTGGCGCTCATAAGTCAGATTATATAAGATTAATAAATTACAGTTTTTTATTGCTGTTTTAGTCTGGTCATATTCTAATAAAAAACATACTAATTCGTCCATAAACGTCAAAAATGAAGCCATTCCCAGATCACCTCACCAATTCATCTGGTCTTCCCGCAATATACCGATTTGTCTATAAATATTAAAAATAAAGCCATTCCCAGATCACCTCACTAATTCATCTGGTCTTCCCGCAACATACCGATTCGTCCACAAACGTTAAAAATAAAGCCATTCCCAGATCACCTTACCAATTCATCTAGTCTTCCCGCAATATACCGATTCGTCTATAAACGTCAAAAATGAAGCCATTCCTAGATCACCTTACCAATTTATCTAGTCTTCCTGTAACATGCCGATTCGTCTATAAATGTCAAAAATGAAGCCATTCCTAGATCACCTTACTAATTTATCTAGTCTTCCCGCAATATGCCGATTCGTCTATAAACGTCAAAAATAAAGCCATTCCCAGATTACCTCACCAATTCATCTAGTCTTCCCGCAATATACCGATTCGTCTATAAACGTCAAAAATAAAGCCATTCCCAGATCACCTTACTAATTCATCTAGTCTTCCTATAATATACCGATTCGTCTATAAATGTCAAAAATGAAGCTATTCCCAGATTACCTTACCAATTCATCCTATCTATATATAAATGCAAATTCATCCTATCTATATACAAATATAAATTCATCCTATCTATATATAAATGCTATATATAAATGTAAATTTATCTAATCAATTCAACCACTACTAATAATTGAGATAATTTAATTCTAAAAATAGTATTTAAATGCTAGATAGTAGAGAGTATCTAATTAATTAAATGCAACCTCAATTTATTACTAGTTATGGTATAATTATATAAAGGAGTTAGGACTAAAGCCTATAGATTATTAGTATAAAAACTCTACAGCCCAGCGAAATACTATATAAACCTATAATTAAATTTCAGATAAAACCAATTAATCAGACTAATTAAGTAAATAAATTAATTAGATATATTAGTAAGGTAACCTCGGAATAGCTTTATTTTTAATATTTATAGATAAATTCGTATATTTATAGCTCCTAGGCCTAAAGCCTAAGAACAGCCCGCCTTAGCCTAAATTTATCTAGAATATATATCTTAGCGCCTAGAAGCCTACTTACTAAGTAGAATAGTATATAGTTATTTTAGTTTCCTAATTAAATAACAGCCTTTTATATCCTAGTAGCCTTAAAATTTTAGTTTTTATTTATAAAATAATTTTTAATATAGCTAGCCACTTATTATTTCTAGAAAAAAAAAAAAATAGGCCGATTTAGTGATACTTTATAGATAGGCTAGTCTCTATATAGAAATATATATTTAATTATACTAGTATATATACATTTAAATAATATTTAGTACCCCTAACTACTATAAATAATTAAGATTAATTATAATTTATTAAGGATCTCTACATTTTATTAATAAAGAGGCTAGAATTAAAGGAAAATCAGTATTCAATTATATATATCTAGGACTAGGACTCTATATTATAGTACAGCTAGTAATATAGGTATACTAGGTATATTATAGTGAATTGTAATACCTATATAACCGAATCCTTTAATCTAAATACTAATAAAAGACTATTAGGGGAATTAAGAGATATCTAATCCTATAATATAATTTAAAAATAGTACCTAAAAGAAGAGGGAGGCCTAATAAGGCTAAGAAGGTATCTTAATCCTATTAAGTATATACCTTTCGAAATTAAACTTCTTTTATTTTTTTCTATTCTTAATAATATATATTTTAGATTAGGAGTATATTCTTTACTCTATATAGCTACCTACTAATTTTAAAGGGCTAATATACATTTCCTTATATAAAGGGCTAATATATATTTCTTTATATATCCTATTCTATAGTTAGCTATAGTATATAGTCTAATCTATATACTATATATAGTTATCTTAGGATAAAAGGGTATATAGGCGCTACCACAGAGATCATAAATTATATTTAAAATTCTTTAGGCTATAGCCTACTTACAATTAATTCCAGAGAATATAAACTAATATAGAGACTAGTATATAGACTAATACAGAGACTAGTATATAGGCTAATATAGAGACTAGTATATAGACTAATACTAAGACTAGTATATAGACTCTATTATCGATAGAGGAGGTACTCTAGGTACTATAGTAGAGGGAGGGGGCTAAGGCCTATAGGCTAGCAGTTAAGGCTCTTAAGAGCCTAATTAAGAGGAAAGAGTTAACTAAGTATTAGATTTATATACTTCTAGATTATATTACTAAGTAAGAGCTATAGAAGGGATAGGAAGACTATACTGATTTTTAATAATAGTAGATTAGTATAATTAAGGTCTAGTAGTATATTTAAAAGAATTAGTAGTATATCGATAAAGTACGCTAAAAGGCGACTATACTATAGGGTATATAAGATACTAAGGCCTTCTTTAGATATATTATATCAAAGTTAATAGCTAAGCTAGCTAATAAATTAATCATAGTAAAAATAAACTACTAGGATATAAGGCTTACTATTAATAATAAGGTTACCTAACACGTTTCTTCCTCTAGGAGTAGAATCCAGAAGAATCATAAATATATTAAGCTAATTAATATATAATAGGCCTACTCTAGGCTATATAGCAAATCGATAACCCCACTCTATATAAAGGATCTCCGAGATTATAGTCTTTAGATTAATACTAATAGATTCTATTATACAGCTAGGAGTAGAAGGAATCTTAAAGAAATTAGTAATATATCGATTAGTAGATATAGTAGCCAGTAGCCTAGGTAGCTAGTACTACTACTAAATACCCTAGGATTTAATATAAGTAAGGTTTAATAGGAAGAGAGAGGGGGTAGATAGGATAGGCCCCTAGCCATTCTACTAAGTAATAATACTATAGCCACCCTACTAAGTAATAATACTATAGCTACCCTACTAAGCAATAATACTATAGCAGTAGTAATAATAAGCCAGCCTACTAATAGGATATATAGCTACTATATAACAGAGATAATAATAGATAAGTATATAATAATTATAAAAGATAGTATATAGAAGGAGAGGGAGGCCCTAGTTACCTTTAGGAAAATTGCGAAACTAGTTAATAGAGAGTTCGGTACCAGTTATATCTATTTTAAATATACTAAAGGGATTATTAATATACTAGGTATATAAGGCAGTAGTAAGAGCCCTTAGGAGTTAGTAGAACGAATCCAATTTAGTTACTACCATCTTAGTCAATAGGATAAGTTTCAGAAGAAGTTCTCTAGCTAGTTTATACTAGGCCCAGATCCTAGAAACCTAAAGGAAATATATGGTATCTACGAATTTAATCCAAAACCTATATTCTATCGACCAGAAATGACGCACTTCTATACGTTCCTTATATCTAGTGGTATATTAGTAGTCAGCAGCCACGTGTAGCGATTATATAAACACATACCAAGATAGATCTCGGAGGAGAACCCTCCTTTTCACAATTACACTCATTTTACCCTTTGGTCTAGTATCCTACTGCTTATACCATATAAAACAGCCTCTCTTTTATTCAATAGTTATAAGCCCAGTTCACTAGTATATCAATTGCAATTAAATACTACTACGGTCTGCTCCATAAGCTACTGTATCCCTAAGCATAGAAGTACTTTTGCTTACCTAGTACTTCCTATCTATCCTCTACCAACTCGCATAAGAAAGCTGTAGAAAACGAGATATTATTCCTTTATAATAATCCTAGCGGGATCACTAAATAGGTCTCGAGTATACCTAGAGTATATATTATTCTAAGGAACTTAACCTAATAGCGAACCTGGTTTATATAGGTAGAGATAATTGCCGAAAACCTCAATATTTAGGATTATATTAACCTAAATATTAGTAAAGAAAAGCGGCCTACCCTACCTATAA